ATCATTGTATATAAATCCGTTATATCGAATGTATATACAATGGTCTGGTCTGTTGTCTCATATTTTTTTAATTCCTTTAAAAATTCTATACTATTTGTCAAACTATATGGGGTTAATCTATCAAAAATGGGACGTATAATTTTGTCAAGAAAAGCCGAGATTTTTTGTGTTGGTGATTTCATTCCCGAAACAATTGGTCTAAGTGGTTCTCCTACCTTATGATCTTTTGGGTTGTAATAAAGATGGGGTAACTCGGCATCTTTTGGATCTGGTTTAAGTTTCTCAAAATATTTCCCGGGTAATAATTTTCTACTTATTAAATTTCTTAATAACTCTTCTGTTTTTTCTATCATACTAACTAATGGGGATTTTTCTATCTCTTCGTAGGCATCTGTCTTTCTCATATACGCTATTGACTTTTCTATATATGTCTCAGGCCTATCTACGTGGAACACTTTGGATTTATCTGTTTGTCTGAAAATAACTCTACCCTTTTTTTTTGTTCCTTTTGAAAATGTTCTAAGGTTTTCTCAATTAATGGGTCCTGTCCTCTTCCTTCTTTTATCTTATTTCTTAGTTCTTCTTCTAATCTCTGGGCAAATTCTTCTACCTTCTTTGGATTTCTACCTACTGTCCTAGTTTCTCTTCTCCAAGCTTCGGCTACCTTATCTTTCATTACTCTAATCTCTTCTTCTAATCTATCTAAGGCCTGTTTTGGATTCTCAGGTACAAATTTTGGTCCATAATTTAAAATTCTTCTCTCTTCATCTCCTAAATCTAATACTTTATTATTAACTTGAGGGGGAAATCCTAGTGGGGTATAATGTGCGTGTAAATTCTTAACTCTACTATTTCTTTCTATTGCTCTAGCTATTTTCCTATTATTCTTATTCCCTTTTTCTCTAAAAAATCTAATTTCTTTTGTACTTTTCTATTATTCCTTACTTCTATTACGTGAACTAAATCCTTATATGCTGGCCTTATTTCTACTGGTATCTTCTCAACTAAATCCAAGTGTTCTTTCTCACTCTTATCTATCTCACTAACTTTTGCTATTCTCATTACTGATGTTAAGTCTAACTTAGTCTTTCTCAAAATATTATTCCATTGCTCACTATACTGATCCTTAACTTCGCTACTTAATTCCTTACTTCTAAACTGTAATTTATCCATAATACTTAATGCTGGTGGTGGCATATTCTCATTTAATCTTCTATCTAACTTATCTAACTGGAATTTTAATTCTAATATTCTCTCAAATCTATGCTGTGCTTTTTCTATTATTTCTAAACTATCCTTATTATTCTTATTTCTAATTGTTCTTAAAGCTTTTTCTTTTATCTGATCTAAAATAAGGTTATCTAAACGTTTTTGATTTGAAATTTTTAAACTATCTATTAACGGATCTATACTGTTCTTAACAAATTTTACTATTATTCTATGTAAATCTTCACTAAATTGTTTCATCATTTCTTCTAATTCTTTTTCTTGTTGTTTCGATTTCTTTTCTAAAAATTCTTGATGTAATCTAATATTTTCTGTATCTGCCTTTAAATGAAAGATCTTAAAATGAAATTTACATTCTATAGGTACTATTGGAAAATTAAATAAATTTATTCTATTAATTTCAGAATCTTTCGGAATAACTGATGGTGAATGAGAAATACTATCTTGTTCCATTTGATGATCTTGTTCTTCTATCTCTATCGTTGATCTTATTCGAGGTGTTACTATAGGTGGATTATTATGATTTTCTTTTTCTTTTTCATTTTCAATATTTGATGTTATAAAATTGGGACTATAAACTAATGGTCGAGGAGGTGCTATAGGTGTTTTTGGTGTACTCTGTCGTGGACTGATTGGTGGTGGATCATTTAAACCTGGTGGTGTTTTGGGAAGCTCAGTGGACGAATCCTGAATTTGTGCATCAAATAATTCCTGTTGTTGAATTCTAACTCTTTGTGGCTTTCTTACGTGTACATGTGTATTCCATGGCTGATGTTTTTCTTTTTTATCTATAGGTGTATCTGCTCTTGTTTTCTTAGCTATCTGATCTGTCTTTTCCTTATTACTATTCTCACTAACTAATAATATAGGACTTCCTTCTGGTGCACGTGGATCATTCTCAATAGCAACTTTCTTTTTCTTTTTTGATCCTATTTTCTTCTTTCTAATAATATTCTCTTTTTCTAATATTTTTCCTTTCGATGTTGGTGAAATACTTGTATCTTGTAATTTTCTTTTTCTATTATCTTCTTCTTCTTCTTCTTCACTATTACTATTCTCACTATCTGATGTACTATTGATGTTACTATCACTAGGCTCTTCCTTACTCTTATCCTTATTCTTATCCTTATCCTTATCCTTATCCTTATTCTTATCCTTATTCTTATCCTTATTCTTATCATTATTCTTATCCTTATCTTTATCCTTATCCTTATCCTTATCCTTATCTTCTACATTACTATCTTCATTACTCTGACTATCTGTATCACTAACTGTCATATTTAATATCCTCGAGTATCTCTCTGAAAAAGGTCGTGCTTGTGGAATTTCTTCTAGATCTATCATTCTTATATCGTCCCCGTCCTTATCTAAATTCTGTTCCTTACAACTAGCTACTTGTTCATATATTTTCCATTTTCTACTTTCTTCTTCAAAATGTCTCTGTTGGTAATAAATATTTGCTATTAAAAATATCTTATCTTTTTCTTTTTCTAATTCTTTTGGTGGTTCATTATCTCTAAAAAATTGTTCCTTAGTCCTTAACTTATGTGGATAATACTTAATTAATGATCTCGATGGAAAATTAGGATGTGTTCTACTATTTCTATTTCCTTGTCCTACTACTCTATCTGGTGTGATTGAGAATGGCTGAGTACTATTATTATTATTTGAAAAAAGTGTTACTGACCTTGTTCTATTTTGTTGTTGCTGTTGTTGTTGATAATTTTGACGAGGTTGGTACTGCCGTTGAACATAAATATTATTATTCATTTGTAATGTTGTTGTCGTCGTTGGTGTAGTTGGTGCTGTTGGTGTTGGACGATGACGACGACGCTGAAAAAGAAGGGAAGAAAGTGCGACAGCACGAGAAGAGAACCATTCACGTATAGCTCCTTCATATTTCCACTTGCCAGTGGTGTTAGATGGATGTAGCCCATCTTCCACACGCATGTCCGCAGGCCCAAGGCGCGCATCAACAACGTCAAAATCCAACTGGTTGGATAAGACCTGAAGATGCTCATTAAATTGATTATGCATTTGTCCGATGTTGGCCGCAGAGACAAGTCTCGTTGGCTTCCATCGTGGTGACAAAGCTAACCAACTAATGGCCCGGATACCTGGGAATGACCGGCGAATGAAACGTATGAGCTCGCTAGTACGTTGCAGAGTAACCTCGACACCGTACCGTCCCACATCATTCGTACCCAAACATATGACTAGAAAATCTTTATCACTTACCTTACCACGACCTTCAGGTGTGTTTAACCATTGTATCATATTATAAATATCACAACCTGATTCATAACTTAAATCTACATCATATAAGGGTAATTTTTTAATCGCATATGTTCTAAGTCGGGAGCACATAGAATCGGATAATATAATTCCTTTAAAAGTACGTTTAATGTTATTATTATTATTATTATTAATATTAAATGAAGGTGATGGTGATGGTGAACGATGAAAATTATGAAAATTATTATGATGCTGATGACGATGATGAGAATTATGTTGTTGTTGATGAACTCGACGTGGTTTTATTGGTGGTGGTTGTGGACGATGAAATGAACGTGAACGTGAACGTGATTTTGATGGAAGTTGACCCAAAATATGAAAACGAGAACGTGATACTGATCGTGGTTGATGTTGATTAGGATGAAAATGTTGAGCTTGATGGAATGACCGTGTATGATGATGAGATGGTAAATGAAATGGATTTAATGACATTAATGTTGGTAAATTATTGATATTATTTTGATGATGATGATATTGACGATTATAATGAGATGGATGATAATTATGATTATGATGATTATGGTGATGATAATTATGACGATATGGAGATGATGATGGTGGTAATTGACGACGACGAGGTGGTGGAATTGGTGGAATGCCAGTAAGATTTGTATATCCATTAAAAGTTGTTGTTGTACCTGTTTGAAATTTTTTATAAGAATTGTACTTACGTTGACCTGCCCCGTATAAAGATGGTTTCCGTGGAATTTGCCGAGTTAAATTTTGATAATTTGGTTGAATGTTTGGTGGTGGAATATTAGCTGTTAAATAATATGGACGAAGAGGTGGAATATTAATATTTGGAAGATAATTTGATGTTTTTGGTATGAAATTAATTGAAGACATTGTTAATTCTTTTCGTCAACTGATAAATACTTGGTGATGGTTGAACTGATAATATGTGGGTGTGATTTAAATGTAAAAAGCGAATTAACAATATTGTGAAGCAAAAAAGAAGACCAAAGAAATATTATAAATAAATAAATAAATAAATAAATATATAGATAAATAATTTTAATTGAAAAAAGAAATGGAGAACTCTTTTTAGATATAGAAATAAGCGAATAAATTATATTTTTTGTATTAGTTTTAAGTTTTATTTGTTTTTTGTTTTTTGTTTGAAATTTTTTGTTAAATTTTAAATGTTTTTGGTTATTTTATATGTTTTTAGTGAATTGAACGAAAAATAAATGAAATGAACGAAAAATAAATGAAATTTTTAATAAATTTAAGAAAATCTCGAATGAATTTAATTGAGATTGAGAAAAAACGAAGAAAATCTAATTGAAATTTAATAGAATAAGAAAATTCAATTGAAATTTGGTAGAATAAGAAAATCTAATAGAGTTTTTAATGAATTTGCTTTAGAAAAATGAGAAAATCGAATTGAAATTTAGTAGAATACGAAAATCAAATAGAATTTGTAATGAAATGAGAAGATTTGATCAAATTTTATTGAAATAAGAAGATTTGATCAAATGTTATTGAGAAATGAAAATTTTGATTGAGTCTTTTGAGAGATTGAGTAAGAAATGAATGAATAAATAATTGAGAAAAAAGAAAAACTTTTTTTGAGAATAATTTAGATTTTTTTGAATATGAAATAAATAAGTGAAAACGAAAAATCTTTTGAGAAATGAGTCAGTGAAATAATAAATAATTTAGGCAAATAGATATATGAAATGAATAAGTTTTGAATAAGAAAAAATCAACTTGTTTTAGGAGTCAAAGAAATAAGAAAATTTAGGTTATTTTTGGTTAGAAAAATAAGCTATTTTTTGAATGAGACGAGAGCAAACTTCTTTTGTAATGAATTTAATGTAAATTTTAATTTTTTAATATAATTTTAATGTAATTTTATTAAATAACAATAAATAATTTGACAATAAACTTGTAATAAGCGACGCGTTTCGAATATTCTTCAGGCTATGAATGACTATCCTTTCTTTCTTCCATTCCTTCTATCTTTGCTCTCGTATCTTGTCCTCTATACTCAACCAGTCGGAAAAATTCTCTATTCTATAGGGGGCGCTATTCTTATAGAGGGGGTACTATTCCATTTATCTCATTCTATATTTCTTTAACTCATAACTCTATCTCGATAGTGTGGGTGTGGGAAAACGGAGTTACTCAAGTCGAAATAACTAATTTCTGACAGACTCAATCCTCAAGACTCAAAAAACAAATCGAAAAAGATCTTATTCGGCCACTCGACCCTCTATGAGGGGAGCAGCCTACCCTAACTACCTACTCAAGAAACAACAAATCGAAAAATGGGGGATATTCTCGATTGGTCACTCAACCCTCTATGAGGGGAGCGACCTTCTCTAACTATCTAATCGAAAAAACAAACTCAAAAGAAGGGGATATTCTCAACTGGTCACTCGACCCTCTATGAGGGGAGCGACCTTCCCTAACTAACTACCTCTCAGGACAATCTCAATAGTGTGGGTGCCGCGAAAGGACTTACTCAAGGGGAAAAAACTCAATGGGAAAAGACTCAATCCCTATCACAATATAAAATTAACACATATAAAAAATTACTACGTATAAAATCCGAACACAACAAAGCGACAAAACAAAAAACTTAAAAAAGCGCAGAAAAACAAAAGAACGAAAGACTAAAAACAAAAAAAAGGCCAGGTCCTTCGTTCTTTTCGTCGATGTTATTGACGAATCTATAATAGAAAAAACAAAAAACAGGAGGGGAGGGGAAGGGGCACTACTACTACCTTATTCTATCCTTATTCTAATCTTTCTACTAGGGCCTTAATCGCTGACTTTGGGGGTTTCTTATGCACTAATATACTCTTTAAATTATCTGTTAACTTATGGGCAAATACTACTGGGATATCGTTAAGTGGGGTATCTTCAAAAATTTCCTTCCAAATTTGATGAAATCTCGATCCAAAGCGGGCCAAACTAGGGGTATATGTAAAGTGGACCATAATGTCCTTATTAAAGTTAATCCCGGGTTTATCTTTTTTATTCCATCCTATGTCTAAGACTTTATCCCTATATTCACTATGTCTCTCGCTAAGAAGTAATTTTGGACCCTTCTCTCCCGTTAAATTTTCAAAAAATCTCTTAAAATGTCTATCTATAAAATTTGGGGGGTACTTATTTAAAAGAAGGGTTATTCTCACTTTTTCTATTTCTCTTTCTAAATCTTCTCTATGGGAACATATTCTAACCGCTCGTAAAAGTGCTGAGGGGGGGATATTCTTCATTACGTGGGGAGGGTGTGCTGAGTTAAAAGGTAAAATATAGGGTTGGGCCGCTAACTTTCTAAAGACTTTGGTTCTGAAATTTGGAACTTCTATTTCTACTCTTACATCTAAATAATCTACATGTGGGCCTGTCTCAAAAGTTAATCCTATATTTTTATCCTTTTTACCTAATTCAGTTAATATCCTATCTATCTCATCCTTACTCTTCTTACTAGTAATAAAAATATCATCTCTAAATCTAAAATATAACTCTCCCTCACTATTTTGTTGTTCCTTAAACTGTTTCTCCCACTTTCTCATATAAACATCCGCTAAGACTTGGGTACATTCTGAGCCCATGGGTCCTCCTCTGATCTGCTTATAATATTTAACTTTCTGACCGGGCAACTGAAGGGCAAAATACGCATTTTCTAAAACATGTCTAAAGAGGGTCCTTATCGTATTGATGGGTATCTCTCCATTAACCTTATTTATTCCATTCTCACCTAACATCTCACAAATGGCTAAGATCGATTCCTGTTGGGGTATCATTGTATATAAATCCGTTATATCGAATGTATATACAATGGTCTGGTCTGTTGTCTCATATTTTTTTAATTCCTTTAAAAATTCTATACTATTTGTCAAACTATATGGGGTTAATCTATCAAAAA